TATAATATAATATAATATAATATATAAGGTTGAACTGCATATATTTAAGCTACAAACAGTCACACTTCTGTAATTTGTACTTTATTATCAAACATTTTTACCAGCTTATGTCAGCTAACCATCTTGAATACACCTGAAATCTAGTAAAAGAAAATAGTGTCCTCTCCATGCAAAAATATTTAAGAACCAAATTTTAAGTAAGCTGTAATAGCAAGAATCAAGAGTAAGATTATTCTTCATAAGGTTAACCCTTGAAATTTTAACTTAGCACTTGCAGATTCTATGGTATTAACTACAGTGCGTGATATAAGCAAGCACTAAACAGAGAGACAAGCCAGATAAAGGTCTGAAAATGGTTAGACCTGTTCATGCCTCTGGCTGAGACAGAAATAGCATTAATCAAATATTTCAGCTGACAAAGATGAAAACAAATTTACAAAAGTGACGAAGCTTCTTTATCTTATGCTGGGGCGGGGGGATGGGAGGGAGAAAAAAAAGAAAAAAATCCCAGAACGCTTTCATTCCTTTCAATTATATTTATCAAAATTCTTACCTGCAATGCTAGTATATTTCAGTCAAAAACATTATTTTAAAATAAAAAGGCTTATTTTAGTCCACATTGTCAACACAAATACTAACTTACTGGATTTTCAACCCAATAAATCATCTGTTCGGAGTCATCAAAGTCGACATCAACACCATTCTGAACTCCTGCTATTGGAACCATAGCATCATTCGTCTTCTCCTCAGGGTTCAGAGAAATTCCATAAATTATATTATCTCTTACAGCAATAAGGAAAGGGTGTTCAACTGTGAAAATATATAATGTAATTCAGAGTTGTTTCTGATCAAGAAAATGGTATTCTGATATGCTTCCCCTCTCCCATCCAGAAGCTCCCTGATGCTGAGAACTCTTGAATGTTACCACTGATGTTTTGCAACCACTTACCTGTAAGTTTGTTCCCTCACTAGGAGTGAGGTTATCAGTTATTGTAATTGTTGTAACACTTACATTTTCAGCACTGTGCAATCACAATGCATGTGCAAATTCTGAAGAGGAAGTAAATAAGGCAGGATCACTTATTGCTGGCCAAGGGAAGAAGTACATTCACACAGCTGTTCTGAGCAGCTTTTTCAAATCTCTGAGAATGGGAACCAGCAGGACAAAGCTCTGAGGGCTCTCCAGGACATACCTGAGTTGGGTTCCAACGTCTGTTGAGCAGGACTCACAAGCAAGGTACAAAGTCATGTCAGCAACTGCTGATCTTTGTTATTAAATATAATTATAGTACTGTATTTTCTTGTTTTATCTCTAAGGGATTAGACATACTCCCTTATAGTATTTTCACTTTTAGGTAAACTTGTACCCTTATTCTTAAATCATATGAACAAAGAGCATCTCGTCAGGTGATCTCAGAAAATGCATTGTAGAGCTGCAGAGTGTGAGTCAGCAACTTAATTTCTCATCAGCTAATGAGTAGTGGAAAAGAATCTCCTGAACACCAATTCCCCTATTCCTTATGCTTTTGCCTTTAGAGAACAAATTGTAGCCTCTTCTCTCCACAGGCATGAGCTACCACTTCACAGGGAACTGGGCTGCTGCTGCCTAGAAGGTAGCAGTAATTCATTTCCTTTTTTATAATAGATCAAAGACTTGTTTTGGTTTTTGCTGTGATTTTCTTCACGGGCTGCTTAATACATTTATATAAATTTTGCAGTGAGAATTTTGACATGAAAAACCACAAATCACAGCATCATTGCACATCTCAAAAACTATTCTCCGTATTTCTCCCTGGCAACTGGAACTATTTGACAAATTTGATATAAGCTTAGATATAGTTTGTCTCAGCACAAAAATCACATTTGGCAAATAATTGTCTGAAGACATATAGCTAGCTCTGACTGTGAAATTCTTGGACTTTTTTTTTTTCCCTAATAATGTCAGACACTGGTGCTCTTCTATAAAATGTTTGCAAAGAACAGCTAAATTCACATGAAATTGTTCCAATACATACAAGACC